AATACATTATAAATTAAAAAAAAAACCAAACCCAAATCTGTAAATTCTAAGGTGCCTACTTAAACGACCAAAAGAAGAACCCTGAGGCTTCAGTATCAACTATATGTTTAAGTAAATGATATACATGGAAATCTTGGCTCACGATCTCAAATGAACATCGTAATTTCACAGATTCAGAATTTCTCAAATGTTTTCGTACTGTTGTTGTTTTGGTTTTTTTTTATAAATAGATTTTCTTGTCATTCTCCCATTCAGCCTTAACATTAGGAATCAATAATCTGATTAAGGCAGCTACTTTATTTTTTATCCTACTTCTGAGTATACAGAGGAGAGAAGGAATTTGGAGAAGCTTCATTTTTAGGAGGCAATGAGCTTCAGTCTTTGAATGATGGGCCTCTAAAAGTGTAAAAGTAATCAAAATATTTTTTTAAATTTTAGCCAATGACCCTATTGCGTTACTAGTTTATTGGAGTAATGTTTCTGAAACTGATTCTCAGAAAGAGTTACCCCAGCAGGAAAAGATCAGGTAGACTTTTATGATCTAATTTGAAGTCCTTTAAACCTTGAAATCCTTGAAGTTCTTCGAACCTTTATTTTGAAGTCCCACTTCTTTCCCTCCAGCTCTCCTTCATGATTTTTTATTTTAGTAGAAACTGCATTCTTAAGACTAGTGCTTGTCATTGTTATTAATTTAAAAAATCTTATAGACAGTTTTAATGAATCTCATCAATATAACATCAGAACGACACGTGCTTTATTGAGCATCGTGGATATTAGCTATGAACTTAACAATATTTGGTTTCCTGAGGGGTACAAGGAGAAGTCAAGGCACTAATGAAAAACCACCTGAAAACATTTGAAAATAACTGGTATATTTGCAGTATAGGGTAGCTCCTGATAGGACTGAACAACGCTCCTTTGCTATCGTCTTGTAATATCAGAGATTTGAGATTTCATTTGAAAAATCTTGATGTCTAAACGAAAAGATGCTGCATTAAATAATGTTTACCAACCTGTCCTCTGATCGGTTGGTTTGAAGGACAGGGTCTATCAAACAGCTGGTAGAGTAGTAGAAGTATGCAATCATTTTTAGTCTTGAGGAGGGTTTGTGAGTAAGAAACTGTCTTAAGAACCAAGTGGTAGGATAGATTTTGAACTAGGCAGCTTCCTTCTTGTTTTCAATCTAGAGTGGGCTAATGTGAAGGGAGGATTCATGAAAGCACAGAGGAAATGGGAGATAGGGCCAAAAGAATTGTTTTGGTTCGTTACCAAAGTTTACCAAATGAAGTGAGACTACAAAGAGCGGGAGTTGCGCAGTTAAATACACATGTCATCGCTATGTGATGTGTTTCAATGTTCATCTTACAGTTGTCCAGTTTTATTCAGTAAATGATACTTTTCAGAAATTATGAATTCATGCTTTGTTTTGTGCCATAGCAGGCCATTGAATGCCGATGTCAGGAATGTAGGTGGCAAAGACAGGATTTCTGCAGTACTGTGAAAGAGAATCTTTTTCAAGTCAACTTTGCATTCAGAGGAAACATATGATAATAGGATGAGTTCTCTGGTAACCCGAAATTGTTAGTTAACATGAGACACTTTGTAACGCATTATTTACCGTATTTGGCCAGCCTTCCTGCCAGCAGTACATCGCTTACAGCAGAGTGTTTCTGTCACATATTTGAGGATGCTGTCACTTAGATGTATTATTTAACTTGGCTATGGTCACCCTTTGTCTTCACCACACACTCCACTTTTCTGCAGCTCTCAAGTAAGAAGCCAATGTTGCTTTGTTGGAACAACCATATCACAAAGACAAATACTATTCACTGGCTCTTCTCAATATCCCCAGTGGAAATATCATTGCAGTCCTTAAAAGTATTTTGTTTGTGTGGTGGAGTCTTGATCTTTCTGGACAAGAATTGTCGCTTATTCTACATATATTCCCATCAATAATACTGTATTAGCACTTCTAATCTATTCCTAAAATAAAAATTAAGTGTACTTTCTGAAGAATAAGAGTTGCATAAAACAATGTGGATCTCAGTTAGTATGACCTAGTACTTCTCATCAATCCTGTACTGCTACAGTTGTCTTCCGTGTGCAAGCATAATAAATTGATTTTTTTTTAGCATTGTGTGTAAGAAATACACTTTTATTCATGGTCTTGTAACTATTGAAATTTTACTCTCATAAGACAAAGGTACTGTTCTGGTTTTTGCCCTTCAAGAAATTACTAGCTTTTGGTTAGACACAAAATCTCATATCTGATGTTAAAGTCTGTGGACAAAGGTTTGAATGTAATGACACAGCACTGATAAAAATAATCTTAGACAGGTTTTTACATACATAGCACACGCACAATGTATACACTTCTCAGGGCCTGTCTCTTCTCAGTCAGGCCATTTCCCTCTGAAGGGATTTTTCTTTTCTGGCTCAATATACGTTGGTGCTACTTTGTAGCTCTCTGTTAGCTCTTAGCTAGGTTGAATGAGTAGTGGGTACATGGTGTGCTTTTACAAGTCCTGGTAGACCTCAACTTGTTACCTTTCAACGGCATCAAGTGAGCGGTCAGGTAAGAGGTAGAGGCTCATTTTATCACCCTTTGAGATCATTCCTTGATGGCCCTTAGATTTTGTGGTGTGCTAACTAGTGTGAATCCTTGAAGGACCTTTGAAACAAGAGGTCCCAGATCTCTAGAAGCTTAATTT